CTCCGCGGAGTACGGTACACACACACACACACACTCTCACACACAAACATGGCTCTACATAACATGAGACGCAGCGGCTAATGCTGGACTGCATGTGTGTGCTATGTCAAAAGAAACAAAGTAAAATGTACAGTAGTATGATAAAATAATATTTAATATTTCGAAGAATTCCCCTGAAAATCCTTTTGAGTATATGCATTTTCTGAAGTCAGTAAGTGAATAAGACACTAAAAGAAAATGACTCAAAAAAAAGATTCATTATGAAAAGTAGTAATCACATGAATGTATCTTTATGAAAAATGCATTACAGAATAAAATTAGTCTATGCTGGGATTTTTAACGGCTATATAGATAGAAGGTTCAAATTTAGTCTTGAATTGTACATGATGAAAAAGGGCTAAAAGACAGATGATGATTACATCGACTTCTAAGCTTTAACATTCCATCAATGGTTATGCTAAAGTTAATTTCTTAAGGTTAAAATTTTGTCTTAAATTCTTGATGATAAAAAAATCTTCATTTTTATGCAAGTTTAGGGGTAATTGAAAGACAATTTTATTATTATTATTATTATTACATCGACTTCTAAGCTTTGGCATTCCATCCATGCTTATGATAAAGTACAATTTGATTATTATTATTATTAATACTATTATTTCTTAAGGTTAAAATGTTGTCTTAAATTCTTGATGATAAAAAAAAAACGTAAAATTAAAAAAGCTTAAAATCTTAAAGTTTAGGGGTAATTGAAAGACCATTTATTATTATTATTATTATTATTACTTCTAAGCATTAATGTTCCATCAATACTCATGCTCAATGGCTACCAGCAACTGTTAGGTTACCAACATTCTTCAAAATATCTTCTTTTGTGTTCCACACACACAGGAATGAAATTCTTATAGGAAGTACATGAGGGTGAGTAAATGATGATAACATTTTCATTTTTGGGTGAACTGTGCCTTTAAAGCACTGCTTTTCTTGGTCATTGGTGTAACAATTAAGTAAGACTTGTTAAATAATATTTCTGACTTGAATATAACCAGTTAGTTTACACATTATCACATGAAATAGGTTTAAAACAATTTGAGGGTGAGTAAATGATGAATTGTAATTTTTGGGTGAACTATGCCTTTAAGGTAATATTTTGCAGTGTAGATCATAAATCCATAATGGAATTTTTTGTCGTCAGTCATTGTGCTCTTAAGTGTCAACAAATCTATATAAATCATTCATTTGTGTGACATCATATGTAGAATATAGTGGGAATTATACGCAATTTCATATGTGTGTTGCCAGTAGTCACTATATTTTCCCAACTCGCTACCATATTAATGAAAAAAAAAAACGTATAATTATAATTCTTTCTCTGGTAAATTCTGGAATCGTGATTCATAAGCTCTATCTTGAAGACATTACTATGTGGCTGCGAGCCTGAGACAATGCATGACAGTGCATTTATCTCGCCCGCACTTAGAAATATGTACACAAGGACAGAGGGCCATTTATGACGAACAACATCTGTTCCAATACTCAATAAAAAAACACTTCTCTGTCATAATAATAATGTCTGGATTTGCTGACAGGCTCTAAATGGCCGCACCCCACGGCAGTCCCACCCTGGTGACCCAACACCAAATAAACAGACAGAGCCTCATTAATACTGCATTGTCCTCTAGAACATGCTAACAATGAAAAAACTCTTACCTTTACAATGGTGATCCTCTGATGCTCTCAGCTATTGACTCTACAGATCAGCTCCCACTACTGCCTCTTGAGCTGGCTTCTCAAATTCTCTTTTTTCAGCTCTTCCTCTGATATGTCGAAAACAGTCTGTTTTTCCCTCTGTTTAACAGAGGATCCTTTATTTGTTCCAGCGAGGTGTAGCTGGATGCCCGGCGAGGCCTGCTTCTTGCTTAAATTCTTGATGATAAAAAAAAAACGTAAAAAAAAAAAAGCTTAAAATCTTAAAGTTTAGGGGTAATTGAAAGACCATTTATTATTATTATTATTATTATTACTTCTAAGCATTAATGTTCCATCAATACTCATGCAACAATGAATGAATGAAAGAATGAATGAACGAACGAACGAACGAATGAATGAACAAACAAATGAACGGACGGACAGACAGAAAGATAGATATTCAAGTAAAAATTGTTTTACTGTAAATATAATTTTCAGAAACTATGGATCTCCAGGGTTGCTTATCAGTTCAAATATTTCACTTTTTTTTTTTTTACTTTATGTTTTTTCTAAAAATGAATCGAAATGAACTGCAGAGAACTGTAAATAATATTTGATCTCATTTTGGCCTTTCCTTTGAGCTATTTGTCAAGAAAAATCAGCTTTCCAGTGGGATTACTCTCAATTCACAAACTATTAGAGCAAATTGGACTGTGCTCTCCCCACAAATCCAGTAAACCCATGTAACACATTCATAAAGGAAGCTTTTCCCACTGACATTAATCCACCTCTATTCTTCTGACTCAGCCTCTGTTTGCATGAATTATGAATTAAGACACACAGTAAAGAAATATATCTCATTATGGAATCAGGATTAAGTATGCCATTAGCATATCTTTATAAAATTTGCATTACTGAAAAAAATGAATCTATGTTGGGATTCTAATAACCTGATCAGTTTTTTTAAGAGTACAAATCAATAATTAAGGTAATATTAACTGAAATATTATAGAATTAAAGACAACATGATTTTGAAAGAGTTAAGGATAACCAAGGAGGTATGAATAGCTTGGAATATCTTTTAAAGAGGTTATTATGCATGCGATTCAAAAGCTTTTTATTTAGTGTCTCTAGATTCTATGTGACACTGCATACGTCAGAAAGAAAACCGACCAGCACATCAGTCTCTCTGAATGCTGTAATGATGATACAGTGTTTGTGAGCAGTTCAAAGCAATTGTTTGTTCTGTCCATATATAATAGAGGGAAGGGAGACAGACCATCCATGACACATCCAGAAACTACCATGGCAGTATTCACTTGGGTTTCACCCAGATTGGATACAAAACTCCAGCTAATGAGCTGGTCACTGACTTCATCTGGGACTTCATTTTGTATTGTCTTTTTCTCTCCCTTTTCATTCTATCATCTTTTGCATGTCTTAGTCCTCCTAACACCTCTTTTTTTCATGCAGTTTTGTCAACATGCCCCTTCCTCAGACGTTTGACCACTTACACCAATGCCTATATCAAACTGTGCCCATTCTTGACTCAATCATAATTCTTGACCCAATATCAAAGTATCCAAGGCAACTCATTCATGACACATAAATCCATATGTGTGACTCACACGGTTTTAGAAATGTGCATGTCCATCTCCATTCTGTCTATCTTTCAGTATAGTGTTATTAGACAAAAAAACTATAAATATATATATTACGTTTATGTATACAGTTTCCATTTGATTGTTGCATGAATTTTATTGGTTTCAACATTAAAAGTGGAAAAAGATATGACATTATTTTTTTTTACTTTATTACATTTTTTTTTGTATACCCACTGCACATCCACTCACAATCAAAAACAAATACAAAATGCAATATTTGTATTTAAGTAATAAATGAATTTATTTAAACAAGTATATTAATACACAAATCTGAGTCATAATATGTATAATTTATAATTAATTAATATACTTTTTGTAGAATTAAGAATTTTTATGATCATTAGGATTTTTATTTTTATTTATTTATTTAGACATTATTTGACAATTAAACACTGACACCCCATTGTCAGTACTGTCATGTCAAAATATATTCTCATTACCATAATGAATATATGTGAACCCAGAAAACAACAAACTAAAAAACAAAATTGGCAAGTAATTAATAATAAATGATCAGTGTATTTGCTGTATTGATTTTTTTTTCTGATTGTTATTCAGATTGGAGTTTTTTCTGATTGAGGCTAAGTGCTAAGACTGAATTTTTTATTTTTCATTCATTTATTTTTTTTATACAACCATTTCTATCTTTTTTTTTTTCTTTTGATTTTGAATGGAAATGGGACATTTCTTTGATTTGCTCTGGGATATGTCCCAGGCAGGAAGGCACAGCAAGCGCCGAGCAACCACAGCATTCATTTAGACACAATGCCAGTCTGAGCAGTCCCTTGTGGCTGCTTTTCTCTCCTTCTGTCTCTTTCTGCTTCCCAACCCTTCCTGCTCTTCTGTCTCAGCTCAGTAGAGCAATGCTTTGAATAATTTATCCAGCTAAAGGGGTGCTGGTGTGGGCCTGACGCCTGATACCGTCTTAAAGGGAATTAAAAGCCTTAAAGCTTTAAGACTAGAAATGATGATACAGGATAATGCATCCTACAATAGTCATACAAAAACAAATCTAATCTTACTACCACACAATATTCCGCTGTATTTTCAGTATGAGTGATTGATTCTATCCGCTTGCTAAGTCTGACGTCACGCGTCACCGCTTCCGGGTCCAAACGCTCTCAGATGCCACAAGAAAACAACAAATGGTACTAATATACACTCAGAATGTGATATAATACTGCTAAAAAATATAATCCTAACATTTATCACCATACCGAAATCCCAGATGGTCAGACAGTGATTCATTTTTTTATAAATCGTTAAAATATTTGTGTCTAGGATGCCGTGAGCACGGAGACTGTAGTGTACACTGTACGTTTTTAAAAGTTTAGCTTAAATGTGTAATATGAATAAATAGTGCTCATAAAGGCTGCTGGGGTGGTATTCTCAAGTGAAACAAGTTGAGGCTTGGACCCAGGGCCATTTCTAGGCATAGGCGAGCTAGGCGGTCGCCTAGCTCGGGGGCAATAGGGATAGGGACGCCTAGCAATAGGGATTTCGCCTAGGGCGTCAAATTGGCTAGAAACGGCCCAGCTTGGACCCAGAAACAGCATTCCTTTCGTCACAACTTAACAAGCAGATAAAGTCATGCTTGTTATTTAACACTCCTCTAAAAAGAATTTACTTTTTATTAACAATCTAAATGTTACAGGTCAAAGAACTTTGATCTTCCTGCTGACACTCGTGTAAAGGTCAATGAGGGAGGTACATTGACCTTAGAGTGAAAGCTTTTGCTGCCAGGAGAGTGAAAGACAGAAGCTCATATAGGCTACATTGCAGACATGGAGCCAGGATCAACTGTCAGTGCTGTGCGAAGCCAGAGGGTTTTGTGTGGAGAGGAAATTCGACCTGCAGTTATCATAATAAAGGAAGGAAAGATTCATAGCATTCTGCCTGATTCAGAAGCTTCAGCGCACACAGCTGGAAAGGTGAGCTAGACTGTGAGACATACGCCACCTGCTGGAGACCACAAGCACTGCAGTCCTCAGGTTTAACCCATAACCACTCCTGTATGGACTGAAATGATTGTAGAAAATGTGGTCAATTTCAATCAGCAAAAGAGTAAAATTGTATATTGTGACAATTTCACATTTGTATAGAATATTTATGAAATATTTATAGCCTACAAATACAGTATATTTGATAGGGACACATAGATAAGTCAGTAGTTTGGCAAGCTGGTTTTAAACACCTTCTTCAAAACCTTCTTAATTTAGAATAGTTTATGGGAATTGTGTTCTTCAAACTAAAATACACTAATTAAACTAGCTAATCTAATAAGTAGTGTGTAAAAAAGTGAATTCAACAAAATTACACTGGCATTAAAGAAAGGGTCAATTATATTATATAATGAAGGTAGATATTAACCAAAAGGTTGAATTATGCTCTCATAACAAAGGTATTTTTTCATAAATGTATAAATTACAATAGTTGTTGGTAAACAGAATGCTTTGATATGTATTGCTGTTTAATGATTTTTGTTTCATAATTATTTAAATTTAGCTAAAAAGCTGTTAAAATGTTGTTGTTTTTTTGCAGTTTTCATTACGACAACCTGTACAAAGTAAACAAATATCTATAAATATGAATGCGTGTTCAATTAACTGTATCATTGCCTAGCACGGTCACATTTTATTTTAAGGTCCATTTCTCACTATTAACAAACCATTAACTATGACTTTTGCCTCAATAAACTCCTAATTTGCTGCTTATTAATAGTTAGTAAGGTAGTTGTTAAGTTTAGGTATTGGGTAGAATTAGGGATGTAGAATATGGTCTTGCAGAATATGTGCTTTATACGTACTAATAAACAGCCAATATGTTATTAATAGGCATGCTAATAAACAATTAGTTTATAGTGAGAATTGGCCCCTATACAAAAGTGTTACCCTTAGCATTATTACTATTATTAACCTGGCAACCAGGCAAGTCACTTAAGAACAAGTTCTTATTTTCAACAACAGCCTGGCAGGAGAATTTAAATCACAAAACACCCTAACAAAACAAGAGTATTTTTCATAATTTTCAGATGTCACTGTTTTAAATGTATTAATTTCAATATTTGTTGGTCGATAGATTAGGTTTGATATTTATTTTTAACATATTTCCCTATTTGCATCCCTAACAATCTAATTTAACCTCAAACATTTTTCATTGCTTCACTAACTAGACAGCATCTTTCTAACAGGTAGTGGATGATGGGGAACAGTCTGATAATGCCAGGTATAAAGGACTGTCATGTTCATGTTAATGAACCAGGCCGTACCTCCTGGGAAGGGTATTGGACTGCCACACAAGCAGCTGCTGCTGGAGGAGTCACCACAATTGTAGACATGCCTCTGTGAGTATAGACTTTCAAATTAACATTCAATAATAATGACTAAACTGAATTTTCAATTATAACAGATGGCAGATCTGGAGAAGTCTATGAGTTACAATTCTCCCAGTCTCCCCCATTCCCTTGGATACTGTTTAGAAATAATATGATTGATAAATAGTTGATAAATAACACAAAACTGACACGATGATTAATTCATGATACACAGAAACAGCATCCCACCAACTATAACTCTTAGAAAATTTCATGAGAAGCTGTGTGCTGCTACAGGACAGTGTTTTGTAGACACAGCATTTTGGGGAGGAGTCATCCCTGGAAACAAGGTACTTACATACTGTACATACTGCACAAACTACAAAATACATTTCAGTTACAGCCTGTTGTTTAACCTTCTAATATTCAAGTATTGTCACTCAATATTGGGAATGCACTATCTAAAGGTAGATATTATTTACCAAAAGTTTGAATCAGGCTTTATAACAAAGGTATTTTCTCATAAATGTATGAATTACAATAGTTGTTGGTAAACAGAATGCTTTGATATTTATCTGTTACCTTTTATATATTTTTTTCTTTGCATTTTTGAATGAATCTGTTGAGTAAATGATACCATGATTCACTTCAAAAGACATCAGTTGCATTAAGATAAGTATATGACACTTCATAGAAACTAGGTCACACTACACAGATTCATACTGAATTTTGCACACTTTTTTTAATGGTCGCGAAGTACGTACTTCTTCAAAATAAGTTTCTACTCAAAGTGTATGCGATTTCGAACGCAGCCATCAACTTTTTCTGGAATAAGATTGCATTTCTGAATAAATCAGTTGGGTAAATGATTCAATGATTTACTCCAAAAGACATCAGCTGTCTCCAAATAAGCATTCTCCATACTTCATTCATACTGCACACATACACAATACTATATAACATACTTTTTAACAGTTACAAAGTAAGTACTTATTCAAAAGAAGCAAGTACATTTACTGTAGACGCAGCTATCTACTTGTTTGCTCCTTGAATGAATCAGTGTTTTTGAAGGCATCGGTTGAGTAAGTGATTCAACGATTCACTCCTAAAGTTACTTTTCACCAACTACTGGTGTAAAAATGTGTTGCCAAAATAACAATAAATAACCATATTTTCTTTGTTTGTCTGCCTGCCCATCTCTTTCTGTGTGTCAATCTCAGCTGGAGCTGAGGCCGATGGTTCAGGCTGGTGTTGCTGGATTTAAGTGCTTTCTGATTCACAGTGGAGTGGATGAGTTTCCTCATGTGAGTGACACAGATCTGCATGCAGCTATGAAACAGCTCCAGGGCACAGGCAGCGTTCTGCTGGTAAGCCATCTCATTTTCTGCTTTCAATCTGATTTCATGAAACATTTCTGCCATAATGAGTATCTTATAATCAGTACCAATGGTAAAATTGTGCACAACTGTCAATGAGAAAAATGCATCTGGTCAGACATAATTTATTATTAGGCATAATTATGGAAATATAATTATGTAACTTAAGTTAATGAAACCTATTTGGTTTAGTTTCATGCAGAGCGAGAAGTCCAGCATGCAGCTGCTGAGAAAGGGGGTGTGAGACTGATCATTTCATGTAAATTAAATTTCAATTCTACTTGAAATGATGAACATGTATTATTTTTAAAATGGAAATTCCTGCTTTACTCCTCTTACTCAGATCCACATGAATATTCCACCTTCCTGAGGTCCAGGCCTGACATTATGGAGATTGAGGCCATCCATACCGTCACTCAGATCTGCTTACAATATCAGTATGTTATGATGAGACCATTTAGAGTGAAGTCCTCAACTTTTGATTATCTAATAGCTGCTTCTGCACACTATGGGTAGCCAGTCAAGATGGGTGGTGAGAAGTCAGCATTTTCTGTTCTTATTATAAGAGTAAGATGCCACATTGTGCACCTGTCATCAGCCCAGCCTCTGGAGCTCATCAGGGCAGCAAGAAAGGCTGGAGCTCCACTGACTGTAGAGACCACCCATCACTACCTCAACCTGTGTGCAGAGAGCATTCCAGCATGTGCAACTCAGTTTAAATGCTGCCCCCCGATACGAGACGCAGCCAGCCGGGTATCAGCAATATGCATTACAGACAATGAAACCGATTCAGGTTGACAGAAAAAGCTGATCAACAAAAGTTGGTCTTTAACAAGTTTCAGTGTAAATTTTACAGAAATATGATTAAGTAATTGTTGACATTAAAATGAATTACTTTCTTCTGTGGAACACTACATTTCGAAGAATACACAGGTCATTTCCCCCATGCAATTACAACTGATGAGGACTGGAGCTTTCAAGCATCAAAAAGGATGTTAAACCACCACCATAAAAGTGACTCATGCACTATATTTCAGGTTTTCTGGAGTCATACAACATAGCTTCGTGAGAGGAACAAACTGAAATTAACTGATATTCTTTGCCTCCAGTCTCATTTGACCTCTTGGAACCATATCAGTCTTGTTTGTGAATTAATTTTGACCAGTTTTGTGAATTGGTTCAACAGAATCATTGGCTATGTTCAGACTGCAAGCAAATCAGTATTTTTTATTTTTTTTCTCAAATCAGTTCTTTTCATGCAGATTGTCTGCATTATTAATTGCAAGTGTTCAGATTTGTGTGTTCATACATAACCAACTTGTCAGCATAGGTTGCTTTGGTTATGACGCAAGCGTACCCACATTTTTGATGAGGCTTTTAAAACAAATGCAGGAAAAAAATGGAGGTGCATCATCTTGATCTCCAAATAAGCGCCCTGTCGAGTCGCGGTGTAGAACTTCTCTGTCGCACAAGAAAAAGGCGACAGAGGAGGCCTCCTTTCGAATATAGTATGAACGCTTTTGCCATTTCCTTCACCGGTTTTGATGTTATCATTGTGTGTCATGTTAAGAGTGACGCAAAAAAACATTTAAGATCTGATCTGAACAGAGCGTCCAGACTGAGATGCATCTGTAAAAATCAGATTTGAATTATATTTCAACCCACCTTCATACATGGTTTGAATTAGATTAGAAAAAAAAATCTATTTTATGTTTTTTTTTTGTTTTTTTTTGCTGTACTTTCAAAAACCCATCTGGATAATATCTGGATATGCAAATAATCAGATTATTGCTGTCAGTCTGAACAAGGCCTATGAAAAGAGAGTCAAAAAGAATGATTCATTCACAAATCGGATATCACTTATTCTCTACTAAATTCCCACAAGGTTATCATATGTCTGTAGAATAATTGCAATATAGAACACAAGACATGTGGACTTTATTCACTTACTTGTTTAATTTAATACTTTGATTATGGTGCTTTTGGATCCATTTTGAAGCTTGAAGGCTCCCCATTACTTTAAAAAATGTTCAAAAATTCAAAATTTCTCTTTTTGTATTCCACAGAAGAAAGTCAGTCAGACAGCTTTGGAACATAATAATGACAGAATTTACATTTTGCATGAACAAGTCACTTTTGATTGTCCTATGAACTTCCACAAACCTCAATTACAGTGCATTCTAACCATAATCGATTATAGTCAATCTATAATCTGTTTCTTTTTAGGAGCTCCTATGGTCTGCACTCAAAGCTGGTGATATTGATATGGTTGTGTCAGATCATTCACCATGCACACCTGACCTAAAGTGTTTAGACAGTGGTGATTTCACACAGGCATGGGGAGGGATCTCTTCTCTGCAGTTTGGTAGGCTGTCAATGTACTAATATACTCATGCACTCACATGATGGCCAAAGTCCTTTGTGAGGCAAACAGTGGTCCACCAACAATTTACCAATCAGACTAATGATGAACTAAAAAAAAACAAAAAAACACTGACATTCAGGGATCAAGACAGAGTCCCAGATTGGACCCAGCTTAAAAATATATATCTACACTTGTATGAATAAAGTATATGAACTTGCATTTAGCATGGATTTCTGCCTCAACCGGTCATAAAATTTGACCTGAACAAAAGACAAACACAGTATGATGAAAACAAATAACACACAAACCAGGATGTTCCATAGCACTATTAGCAACATTGTTTCAACAAATGAAACCAAAGCTGTTTGCAAAAACATCTCAACCTAACCATCATGATTTGGAGCTACTTTGCTAAATCAGGGCCTGGACTGCTAGCTATCATTGATAGAAAGCTGAAGCTCAGGTTTATCAGGACATTTTGCATGGGAATGAAAGGCCATTTGTCTTCCAGTTGAAGCTCAACAGAAGTTGGGTGATGCAACAGGACAACGACCCAAAGATCAGACGCAAATCAACAACAACAACAAAATGGGTTCAGCAGAAGAAAATAGGCCTTTGGATTGACGCTGAAGAATAGTGAGGAAAAGTGCAGTTTTCCTCAGTAATTACAGTACTTGTGTAGGTTTTTGCTTCCAAAAAAATGTTCACTTACTTTTTCCACATTGAACTGTATATTTAAATTGTGAATTGTTGGCTATTATCAAATTTTCCAATTTTATGGCCGAATGAATTTGTACAGAAATTCATGGTCTCGCAAGTTAAATGACCAAATGCAAGAGTGTTCGTCATGCATTTTGAGTAAGCAAAGACCTGAGACACGTTTCATATGGCGTTACTAAAATTGTCATTCATCTCGCTGTTTACCAACAGGTTTATCTTTGTTCTGGACATCAGCTTTTAAAAGAGGGTTTTCATTTTTTGACACAGTAAGACTCTTGTGTAAAGAGCCTGCTCAACTATGTCGCCTTGACGACCAAAAAGGGAGTCTCATTCCAGGTCACGATGCAGACTTAATCATTTGGGATCCAGAAAAAGAGTTTACGGTGAGAAAGACAGGGATTCACTCAAGCGGGTTGAGATGAGATGCTCTAAACGACTGACAGAAAAATAGAACATGTTTGTTGCTAAAATTCTGTCTTCCTCTATAAATACACTGAAAGCTTTTTGGAGTTTGCAAGTGAATGCATATAATTTAATTTCCTAGGTGAACAAAGACAACATACATCACAAAAACAAGGTAGGTTAAATTTTACTCCGTATAATTGTTCATGTAAAAGAAATCAATTCTTTTTCACTTTTTCTTTCTTTTTAGTTAACACCGTACCTTGGTCTTGCTCTGCGAGGGAAGGTGAAGGCCACTATAGTCCGAGGGAAGGTGGTTTACAATCATGGCTGTTTCAGTTTTCAGCCTCTTGGGAAGCCTCTCTTTATTCAGCACAAGACACCGTCCCCTTTGTAAACTAAGCACATAAAGCACATTACATTATCTCACCTTACTCATCACTGTTAGGATGTGCTACGGTAAAAATGGTGCTGTGTGGCATGTAATTTTAGAGTACAATTTATTTAATTGATTGTGCAGTATTCAAAAATGCATTGGGTAACACTTTGCACAAACACTGCAAACAAACAGTAACTACTACTACTACTAAAACTAATGCATTTCAGAATTAACCTAATACAGGGGTGGCGAACGTCGGTCCTGGAGAGCCGCAGCCCTGCAGAGTTTTGCTTCAACCCTAATCAAACACACCTGAACAAGCTAATCAAGGTCTGAAGGGTTACTAGAAAGCTACAGGCAGGTGAGATTTTATTAGGGTTGGAGCTGAACTCTGCAGGGCTGCGGCTCTCCAGGACCCCTGACCTAATACTTAATCTTAATGGGATAGTTTATCCAAAAAAGAACATTCTGTCATAATGTACTTCTTATAGCATTTCAAACCTGTATGACTTTCTTTCTTCTGTGGAAGATGAAAGAAGTTATTTTGAAGAAAGTTCTGTTTCAGTTCTAATTGACTTCGATTCCCATTGTATTTTTTGTCCATACAATGAATGTCAATGGAAACTGAAACATTCTTTAAAATACCCTCTTTAAGTATGCAAAATATGTCATGGAGCTTTTGGAACAAGCTGATATTCTGTTTAAAATTGTTATATAATTTGTAAATGTACATAAATGTTACACATATTTTTGAGCCAATTCAAATCTCTTAGACCCCCAAAATAGAGAGTTTACACAATTGTATTTTATGCATTAAAATATGAATGTGATGAATTTTTGGACATTTTCATTCAATCATTAATATTATTTGTTAATTAATAATGGATACTGTTAACATACAATGTTGTTGATGACCAAGCTCTATTTTAAATGTAGGTTTCTTCAGGAAATAATAGAAGTAATTCATGTTTAACCCAACTTCAAAGCAAAACTGTGAATTTCAAAGTTTGCTTTAAATTTTTAGAACTCATTTAATGCTTTACATGTAAAATACATTATCAATAAGGAATTTTGAAATTCTTTAACTGATATTTGTGGTTTACTTGTTTTTATGAGCAGACATTGTCAAAGTGTTACTCACACTAATGTCTAACTACATTTTAAATAAGCTGGATCATTTATTGTGAGTGTGTATATATATATATATATATATATATATATATACACACACACACACACATTTATGATGGCACTGTAAATGGCATTTCCTAGTTGAACAAATTTGAATAGAAAATAGGAAAATGATATGTTTGTTAATTAAACAGCTGCTGTCACTGCTCATCTGCACTGTTCAGTATATCAGGTCTCAATGTTAACCATTGCCTCAGTCTGTCAGTGTCGTGGCAGCATTATGTCCTCTCTGTTCGTTCTTCCACCGGAATGTCTGTTACAGCCTTTTCCCGTCCCCCAGCGACTTATGCTTGGACCAGGACCATCCAATGTGCCCACACGGATCGCAGCAGCCGGAGCGCAGCCCATGCTGGGGCCACCTGCATGCAGAAACCATTGAGGTAATACAGTACAGTGTGTTTATTAGGTGCATACTAGGGACTACTGACTTTTTAGGTCACCATTTTTATGACGCTTTACCATGTTAAATCATATTGGCTTAAAGGGATAATTCACCCAAATATTATAATTTACTCACCCTTATATTGATCAAAATGTGTACTGTAACCTGACATTCTCCTATGTGGAACTGTATTATGGGATTCATTTGTCACCAAAACAGTTTGGTAAGCAAAATTGCCAAAATCTTCTGTGTTCAACAGAAGAAAGAAAATCACAGGTTTGGAACAACATAAGTGTGATGATAAATGATGACAGAATTTTCGTTTCTGAGTGAACTTTAAACAACTGCAACATAAGTAGCTAAAATGGCTTGAATCTGGCTAGTAACATTGTACCGGTTGAAGAAAATAAACAGTATAGTATCTTGTTAATAAGAGATTTTAAAAAGTAAATAACTTGTAGTCCTGCTACATAAATAATTGTGTCATAATCCTTATCTATGAATGAAGTGAATTCATTGTTTGCTTGTTTTGCTTTCAGATTATGAATCAGGTCAAAAGTGGCATTCAGTATGCATTTCAGACCCGAAACCGAGTGACTCTAGCTGTGAGTGGACCAGGTCATGCTGCTATGGATTGTGCCATCTTTAACTCACTGGAGCCCGGAGAGAATGAAAGCTGTCAGTGGCATATGTGGAGAGAGGGCTGCAGAGATAGCTGAGAGAATAGGTACAGATTCTGCTTTTACTAGAAAGCCTGGAATTAAGAGTTATAAAGGTGATTCAGATCATCATTAATTCATATCAAACACTCTTCACTAGGTGCCAAGATGAACACCGTTGTAACCTCTGCTGGTGGGTACTTTACAAATGAGGGAATTGAGCAGGTACAAATTATGTTTCATTAACCATTTATGTATTTACTACATATGATCAACCATGTTTGTCTCGTTTTATAGGCATTAGATAAATACAGTGGTGTTCTTTCTCACACATGGAGAATCCTCCACAGGAGTTGTCCACCCCACAGACGGCATAGGTGACCTTTGCCACAAGTAAGACATTTCTGCTTGAAAAGAGTTGCTTCAGATTAAGACTCTCTATTAAAATCAGCATTTTGCATATTTTAGTCCATTTTTACCTGTATATAAATAAATACAAACACATGCATGTATATATTTAAGAAAAATATGTAATGTTTATATATTAAACATATATATAATAATATAAATATATAAATGTATATACACATGTAAATATTTTCTAAATATATACTGAATGTGTGTGTATTTATATATACATAAGAAATAAACACAGTACACACTCATATATTATGTAAACAAACACTTTTATTTTGGATGCGATTAATCGCGATTAATCCTTTGACAGCATTAACTTTTACTAACTTTGTGGTCACCTCTATGATAGGGTACTCCTAAAAATGGACCTTTGGCAGGTATAAAAGTCTTCCTCTTCTGGCAAAACAGAGGATAGGATTATTCATGTTGGTTGGACTACATGATTCATGTTGGACTACACAGATTTGTGTCCAATTAAATGCGTTCAAGAATGAGAATGTCCCTCCCCCCCAAATTTTAAAATCAAATATAAATGTAACCAGAGCCGATCCTATACTTCTGGGGGCCCTACGCAAAACTGTGTCAGCGGGGGTTGGGGGGTTGGGGTTATGAATGAATGAAACGCATTTGTTCGTGTTTCACTCCGTCTTGAATCGCGCTCACGGAAACTGCTTGAAAAACAGTGTCTCTTCCGCTGCTCGGTACACTTTCAACTCTTTTTTTTTTTGTCTCGAGCAAGAGACTGTAGGCCTATGACATTGACATTACATGATCTGACTGATTTTTACATAGAAAGGGCGACAGCGAATGCATTAAAAGAAATTAACACTCATGTTTTCATAACCGCTGGCCAAATTCAAAAACGAAACTGAAATCAGATCATCTTTGAGAGCAAGGGGGCCCCCTGGTGTTTCGGGGGCCCTACGCAGCTTGCGTACTTTGCGTATAGGGAGGATCGGCTCTGAATGTAACTAAAACTATACAGACAAAGCTAATAAAACTGATAAAACCAAGTAAAATTTTAAATGAAAAAATAAAATCAACATATTTGCAAAAACTAATAGTATATCAGTGGTACTAAAATATCATTGCAACTAACAAGCTCCAAATCATTTACATTTAAGTTACCAGAAGCCTTTTATAATCTACGTGTGTGTTATTTTATATATTTATAATTATGCATTACATAATATCACATATTTATTTTGTTTTTTTGGTCACACTTTATTTTAAGGTCCAATTCTTGCCATTAACAAACCATTAGCTACGACTTTTGCCTCAATAATCACCTAATTTGCTGCTTGTTAATAGTTGGCAAGGTAGTTGTTAAGTCTAGGTAGGATTAGGGATGTAGAATATGGTCTTGCAGAATATGTGCTTTATAAGTACTAATAAACAGTCAATATGTTATTAATAGGCATGCTAATAAGCAACTAGTTAATAGTGAGAATTGGTCCCTATACTAAAGTGTTATCTTTTTTTTTAGTAAATTCTGTTCTGTCATTCAGGTACAACTGTTTATTTCTGGTTGATTCAGTAGCAGCATTGGGAGGTACTCCTATCTGCATAGATGAGCAAGGCATCACCACATTACATGCTCTGGCACTACAATCACTGCCTGCATGGGGTCCATGATTTAAAATGTACTTGTATCACTAGGTATTGACATTATGTATACTGGCTCTCAGAAGGTTTTGAACGCACCTCCAGGAACTGCACCAATCTCCTTCAGTGAGAGAGCATGGTGAGACAAAACAGCTTCAAGCCAGATTTATTTATTTATTTATTTTAATTCAATATGTGACAAAAAAAAATTCTCTTTTTTTTTTTGACAAAACAGCCAGAAAATATTTAACAGGAGGACAAAACCAATCTCTTACTTCTTGGATATGAGCTGGTTGGCAAATTACTGGGGTTGTGATGACAAGCCTGTACGTGCATAAGAACCATTCATCACATTTAACAAGCGCTGATATAACAGCTCATTAAACACTGGAGGCCTCATTCATGTTAAGTTAGAAAACAAAGTAGTCCAAGAAGAAAGAAATCAATATGCTCAGACCTCTGAAGTCAATTCTCTATCACTAAATGGTGATAGAATATTGTGCATATACTGTATGTTAAAGTTTCTCTAACTGTGCAGTTTTCACCACACTGGACCTGTATCTTCTTTCTATGGTCTGCGTGAGAGTCTGGCCATCCTAGCAGAGACTGTGAGATCTTATTCTGTACTTGAATACTCTTGAGAAACGTGAATTTTGTAAAAAAGCACATATTACCATATATTTTATTTTTAGGGTCTTGAGAACTCATGGAAATGGCACAAAGCGCTTGCAGAGTACTTCCATAAAGGCTTAGAAGAAATGGGC